CATCTTTGCTTATAAATCTTAATCTTATTAAGAGATTAAAAATCTAGTTGTTAAAAGCTTGAAAATTAATTAACATTTTTATAGAAATTAGATAAAGACTAATAATTGTGAAAATCGGTTGAATGAAATGGTAAAATGAATTCTTAATATGAAAATATTTTCAGAAAGTTCATGATGATGCGATCGACCTTTTTTGGTGAAGAAGTCAATACACTAGGAGAAGAGAGAGGAAAATAGATTTTAAAAACATGACAGAAGAGACTAAATATATTTCTCTGCTTTATATAAGGTTTATATACGGTTCTCTTCATATGTGACAAAGGCGTTAACAACGGAAGAAGCACGAAAGTACGCTATCTTCGGGTGACGTTTATTCACCCTTTAGACGACTGTGAATAGCGGGTATGCTTTATTTGAATGACCTATGCTCACTAAGTATTCTATTATGAAACTTCTTGTAAACCCACTGCTATCTTCATTGCTATCATCATTGCTTACAAAAAGCTTGTGAATTAAGGCAATATCAAGGCGTACGCACAGTCTGCACATATTGCCAATAACAGACTGATCAATTACAGCCTTAGACCTCAATAGGAAGATACAAGCCAAATAATACCAAGTGAATTTAAATTCACCCCATTGCACAAGCAAGTGGCTATCGGGACTCAGTAGCTGAGTGGATAACGCAGTGGAGTTTGAAGCGAATGGTACTAGGTTCGAGTCCGAGGGTGAACATCAACTCAGATGCAGTTACATCCAGCTGAGGAGCCCCAAATAGGACGGAACGCGCATCCTGGATTCCACTGCTAGCCACTATCCATCATTGCTTACATAAACCATTGCTATCTCCTTTTAATCATATAGAATAGTGTTCATCAACGTGCTGGATAGAATTATCATTAAACAACTAATGTACTCAACACTGTTGGAACAGATGAATTGATGAATACGTATCAAAGTAGTCGGATAAGTAAACTTGTTTTTTAGATCATTAGGAATCACAGGTAAACTTGTGAACACTGACCTCATGGTTAATCCAAAGAACACTCTTGTGAAAAAATTTGAAATATTTTGTTAACATTGGGTATATCTTCTTTAAAGTTGATATTCACGCAAAGCATCTATTTTAGGAAGCAGATAACTAGTTTGATATGTGAAAATTATATTTGAAATAATCTCAGCGATTGAAGTTTAAATAATTCCAACGTTTTGTTTTGCAAACTTGTCTGGACTTCTACCCTGAAGACGTCAAGACAAGCTTGCTAGAAAACACATTGAAATTATTTAAACTTCAATCGCTGAGATTATTTCAAATACAGTTTTTACATATAATGTCTTTTCTATACTCGGAGCCCAATTTTTGTCAAACTATTCGTTCTAATACTATAAATTAAATACTATAAATCACTAGTTTTTTTGAAAAACGAACTCAAAGTAAAAAAGATTTTTTAAACCACCTTCTTGATATAAGTACTAGAGGGAGTTTACCATCTAATTTCTCAAGAGCCTATGGGTTTGTTGCTCATGAAAAAACGATGATATCATAGAATCTATCGATTGTTTAAATTATGTGTGTTAGCGGGAAAGAGACTGGATTGAGTTGGGGTACGCTGATTGGTCATTTCTTAGTCGATCGGAGCTAATGGATACTTGGAAAAGACTCCAGAATCTTCTTGTGTAAAACTTATATATATGCTAATGTTTTGCTTATTGTGATTCCTACTTTTATTCAACCTTTGGTGTAAAATTACTTTCCTGTTCAGCCGTGTTCTGATTCAAGGATTTGTCGAGAGAAGTAAGGTTTCCGAAAAAATGAGAAAAAAATAGGATCAGCTGCATCGTAATAAGAGAGATCATAACAATGTGCAGTGAAGTTGTAAAGATAATATACTTATCCTTCTTAATGTTCGATTTCTCAAGGTTTCTAACACTCCCTGTTTGTCACTAATTTATTTTACTATATAGAGCAAGTCACAAATCGATGTAATTGCCAGTGATACACTTAAATCGTACTTTAATACATATACACACTTATTTATATGACAGTCAGTAAAATAATCATTTGTTTGACAAAATGCAAACAAAAAGTTATCAGACGACTCCAGGACTTTGTGAAGTGCACCGAGAACAAAATACCAAGACATTACTGGAGTAAAGTTTGATTTTAGTACACTTGATGAAATGAATAGTGTGATTAGCACTTAATCAACATACTTTCGTGTAGTATCATACAATTCTCTAACTTGGTTAGAATGGACATGGCGTAACGAAATGACAAAACTAAAAAATATCACTTTAATTGATATTGCTTGATTATCACTTTGATCGAAAAATTCGAAAAAAGTTTGACCGAGAGAAATTATAAAGCTAGTCTTGAGTGCTCCTCTAACAGATTAAAAGTTTAATTTCTTTATTAAACTTAGCATGGTTATTTTATGATTGTGGTTGATGTTCTTGTATGAACTTGTATTATGCATTTTATTTATTTTTAAATCATACACATGATTTCTAACAAGAGCAATACGATGTTTTGACGAATTTGCTTTTACTTTAAAGTACTCAGAAAAAGTTTGTTTATAATAAATAAACAACAAATAACAACAAGTATCGACACTTCAAATTATAAACGTCAGTATCGTCGTAATTATTGATTAAATATGAAGGAGAATAAGACTTGAATGGTTTTTCAAATGTTTTTTATCATTTTGGTTCAGTGAATTATTACCCTAAGTAATCAAATGTTTTAACACAAATCAGAAGATAGATATTTTGGTCAGATAAGCTTTTGAGATGATATTTATTTAAAAAGAAATTCCCTGTATACAGCTAACTAATCATGTAATCAACTAAGAAGAGTCATCAGAGATGTTAATCTACCACTGGCATGTTTATTTTGCTCACAGTCTTGTACAAGGCTACAAAGGGTTATAATCTAAGTTTGAAATAAATTGGCAAAAATTTTCTTCAGCTCAACTTTACATTATAGCTGTATATGTGAAAGAATAATCTAAATATTGACTCGTTCATAGTCACATGTCAGTGCAGATTTTAGTAACTACGGTAAAGAATAGTGAAAAACAATAATTAATTGCATGATGAAGACAAATCAAACATCAATCAAAGATTAAATTAATTGATTTTTATTCTCAATTGAAGCTGATAGTCGGTTTTTGCACAGGTTTCACATAAGTTAAAGTTAGTCTTAATTCATTTCTCATTAGATAAACACATTTTCAAATTTCTGAAATATATATTCAAAGGTATTTAGAGCGATTCAATTTGGACTATTTTTGCTAAGTTGAAAAATGTTGATAATAACAGATACAGATTTTATACATTCACTTTTAATGAATGCTTTTTCGAATTCCCGTGAGAATGAGTGAAGTCTATTAACTACTATATAGAAGATTACTATGAATTAATATTTGATATTGATGTTTGTTTTCAGTTAGCTATTTCTGTCATGTAATTGTTTCATCAATATAGAAGTCACGGAATTATTTAAGCATCAATCGCCAACGTAGAATGACACTCTAATCATAGGACACTGTAGTTATTAGAAATTCAAAGCTATGTAAAAGAAAACCGAATAATGAAAGTATGCGTACTTTTCAAGATGCTTGCGCTTTTAAAGTTTGCAAAATAACTGAAGTTATCGTTTTAAATATTGGCGTAGCTTACAACTAAATCATGCTTTATCCATCCCAAACATTCTTATAAGTATGAAGTAGATTACTCCTGATTTATTTCTCTGAAGAGCTATATCAACTCTACTTATAAAATGTTCCAACGGGAGCATGATCTATTCAGTCTGTGTTCGATGAGTACTTTCGTATAAATAACTAGCAACTACCATCAAGATTGAATACAGAGTCTGCGAATCTACTATTTGCAATACTATTCAGAATAAGAGGTAGAAGCGTACTAGAAATGGCTGTCTGAATGAGGCAAACAATTCATAACACATTATTCAATCAGTGTTGATTGTTGTATTCTTCCATTATACACCACATTAATCTGTGCATTATTCTCTACAATCTGCCGTACTATAAGAAAATAAATACCAACATGTGACCAAAATTTTATTAATGCATTCTTAATGGCGTTAAGATTAAATTACAAAAAACAGTAATTATGCACATCCATTGATACCTTATTACAGTTACACATCTAGATATGTCTTTTTGTGCTGAATTCCTTGTTAGATCAACAATTTATGATCAAGCCGTTCATCTAAAGTTTCTAACTATTTACACGTAAAGTAATCAATAAAAATAAACAGGATCTCTATAAGAACTTCAACTGATATTAAACAAATAACTTATTTTAAGCTTCTTTCATGGTATTGTCTTTGAATGCTATAGAAGTAGGTGGTCTATTGTTTTTTTTACAGAGTCCAGTTTTGGAAAGACACTATCTTTTTTAACAAGTCACATTGAACTAATTTTATTGAAAATATGAAAACACGTTGAATAAAAATGTGACTTGAAATGATTAACAATACCAGAAAGTATTTTTAGGAAGCAGCGTTTCATCTAAGAATTGGAAATGATACATACTAAATAGTATAAAACAGTAATATGAGTTATAAATAAATTAAAAGATTTGTAATATCTCTATGAGTAGAAGAATTAAATTTTTTGAAGTTTCGTGACTCAGTGTAAGTCACTTTTTCGGAAAAAAATAACCAAATCAAAATCAATCCAAGTTTAAGTAGTACAACGGAAACAAAATGAATATAATATTAATACTTCCACAGTACTCACTAACCATAGATCAACCATAAATAATGTGTAAAAAAACTAACAATAATATTATTGCTACTATCAGCTGTCCAACGTTTAATACTATTTGGATTTACTCAACAAATGAATGAACCAACACAAAAACTTTTAAAACCATATATCAATAGAGTTTGATAGAATAAGATTTAGGTAAATAACAATTCGTTTTGAATTTGTCTCACTGTAAATAAATATGAAAAATGATCCAAAATTAGTTTATGGAGCTTTCCAAACACCAACTACAGCACATGTCAAACGTTTGCCGGAATTGCCTGTCTTGCGACTTCCATCATCACCCATTCTGCCTAAGTCATCTTCTTTCTCATGGATAACCAGTGCTCTTCCAAGAAACCCATTAAATTTAGTAATAGAAGAAATATCAACATCGAAATCAAGAGTCAAAATACCATTTTGATCGACATAATGATTTCCAAAATCTCCAGGATGTCTTGGCGAACCTGTTAGTCCACCATGGTCACTGAAAATGATTACGTAATAACTTTAGTATGAGTAAACAACAATGTTAAATATTTAAAAAATCATCATCCATTTGTAATTAGTATATTTCCAGATTTCATAATGTTGTTGAAACTCTAAGTTTATTTGTTGTTTTTAGCTTGTTTTCAATGACAAGTTGGTTAAATCATCTATACTATTATTCTAAATATTCACTTACGGAAATTAAGACATTAAAGTTCCTCTGATTTTTGCCTCATATGAGATAGAAAATCATTTGTATAATAAGTATATTAGATATTTTGTGGTATTGTTTAAGTAAATGTCTACTGTAAGATAACGCTTGTTTAAATCTAAATTCATAAACAATTTATCTGAATTCATTTTATCCACTGAAGATGAAATAACCTTCTGAACTAAAGAAAGGCATCACAAACTAAAACACATAGATTCCACAATATCAACTTTATTTCGAATTGTCGATGTGTTTTTTTCATTTATTCTCCGTTTCTTTAATTACTGCATATCTTCATGTATTACGAGATGAAATGATGATATAATGATTACCATTGGTCTGAACCTCAAAAAGAGTTTATTTTATCATTATCATAAATAATACACATTAATGAGTTCAAATAGATTTTTAGAAAGCTTATACCTAAGAATAATGATTGAAATAATTGGACAATCAGATCACTGGTTCAGACTAAATAACTTATTCAGTATAGATATTTATCCTTAATAATAAAAATGAGCTATCTCTTTTTATCTTTTTAATTTGACCAAAAGTTGTTTCAACTCGAAGATATTGTCATTTGCGTAATCCAAGTGAATATTTCGATGATGTCTACAGAGATGATATATTCTTTTGGAATTATATTCAGATAATAAGTGTGTAGTTATGATATTTCATGTAGCCTTTATTAAAGAATTTTTCAATTTAATGTTTACCTGTTAAACGGATTAAAATGTGGTCCGGCGTCATTACATCCATTACCTAATGCACCATATTCATGTATATGAACACCCAACCATTTATTTCGCGGAAAACCTGATAAATATCCAGTTACTGTGAGACTTGAGCCATGCTTTGTGAAATACACAGTTCCAGAATACTGCGGACCAATAAAACTGGCTATACTGTAAACATTCTGGAAGCATTGAAGAGTTCCTAAAAATAAATATTATGTACATAATAACCCGATAAAGCATTTTCATTCACAGTTTATTTATTTTAACCATAGAATTTATTCGCTTGAACCGGCAATACACACATAAATCTAAAATTAATTCATCAACCTTAACCCGATATTTTATTGAAATCTAACCGTTATCAATAATTTTACGTAATAAAGTGTCTTATTATGAAAGTAGACAAACAAACACCACTGTACTAATAAATGAAAACAATATCTCACAGAAAATTATTTTACTCTAATGAGTATGAAAACCCTAGAGGGATCCTTGCGTTAAACACAATATGATTTATAATTAAATTGTCTTACCATTTCTACCGTCTCTTAACATCTGAACTATTCTATAAATACTTGTTTTTTTAGAATCCATGATGGGTAATATATACTAACACATATAAAGTATCCTAAAATGAAGTTCAGTCGTGTAGTATAAAATCAGGTAGTGTTACATAATACACCTTTTAACGATTACCAATTAAAAGAATGTAATCGTATCCAAGAAGAACGGAAATGAACATTTTATGGAATTCTGTAGCACTTTAAATCTTATAAATCTTATTCAGTGATCGTTATGTATTCTCTATCAAACATGAAATTAAATAATGTAATTACAATATTATATTACATTTTTCTGGGATATCGTAGTCACAGGAAAATGTTCATTTCAATAGACACAGACCCTTCAACTGAGATATTCTTTTTTTAGTTAATGAAATAATAGGGAAAATATCGGTAGGTTCATTTAGTTTGTAAGTCGATAAGAAATTGGAAAAAAACAAAATTTTAAATTCAGAAAGTAAAAGCTATAAGTCGCATCATTTACGTCCATTCGATTAGATGAATCCAATATGCAAGTTGTATTAAGGAAAGACATTTAAATCTTACTTTAATAAATTGTAATAATCAATGGTCAATGAACTTGTTTTCTATAAATAAAATACAGGTGAGACTATAATTCATGGATGACCTTTGAGCGACGCTAAAGTGACTTTGAGAATGTCCACTCAATAATTACAACTAAATGAGGGTTATAAACCAGTGTGAGGAATTAGAATTATGATTTACAATTGATGGTTAGGATTAAGAATTAGATTTATTGCTTTCAACACGAAGTGACATCAACTATAATGCCGAAATAATATTTAGCCAAATGAAAGGATAAATTTCGTTCTGAATTCCGATACCTATTATCTTAAATCTCATTGGTTCGTCCATAAATTGTAGTCCCGCCAAGAAACACTTGATACATCCAAATGAACAAACATCTATCAGGATTCAATTCTAAGGAGGGAATTTCAACCCCTGAAATTGTTCAAATTAGTTCACAAACATCGCCTATATCTAAGTAATCTACAGAATAAACAGAATTGGGTTATCACTCTTTAAAATTTTTATCAAAGTAATTTCAGTCATATGATAAAAAAAACATTTTTTCATAAGATATGTGAGATGACAGATAAAATTTGAAGAGCATTTCACACTTGAAAATCACGAAAGTCATAAACTAGATAGTAACTTACTTCCTGATCCCTTTACATTTGTTATAAATAACAAGATATATATGTACAGCAGCATTATAGGTAATCCACTAGATTAAATGTTAAAAAATTCCAGCAAAAATACCTGAAATGCACGCACACTTATCTATGTAAACAGTCACTAAATCACTAACTAAATAACCAATTACAGAACAGATAGTATGATCAACTTACTTATATTTAAGAGATGACACAGAAATATATGTGATTTCACTTAAAATCAAGCCCAACCTTATCTGTAGTTTGTGAAAAATACTTTTGGTTTGATGATAATGCATTGGTAAAATATGGAAATCATGTTACTGATCGAATTTAACAACATTAATAATACTATTAATAATATGATAAGATAAACTTTTAAGTAGGCTATACAGGAGGAGGGTATTATAAAGACAGGTACTTTAAACATTAACTGAAATTCGTTACATCGGGCTACAACTAGGCACGCCCATCATTACATTTCTGAACACGATCATTCATAGTTAAGTAAAGTTCATATAGTGGATAACGTGATGGCGTTTGAAGCAAAAGGTACCAAGTTTTAGTCCTGGAGTTAGCATGACATCTATGATGGAGGTACACCTAGCCGACAAGCCCCATATAAGAAGAAAACCGCAGTCCTGAATCACACTACTAGCCTCCACCCACCTATGCCTAAAAAAACATTATTTTAGATCACACTGATCAGTTTCACAATGAATAGACACAATAACCAGATCCCAATTGATTGAAGTGTGAGCAATCAACAGACGAGATTTCTTCAACCCTCTATGACATTTCATCATGCTCATTTTTTAAGTGTCTTGCATAAGAACATGTTATTTTACAACATAAAATTGTCTATCCTTCTAGCTTTCTTCTTATATTCGACTTCAAAACACTGATTTCTTTTTAACAATAATATGATTTGTTAACAGCCGTTAGTCAGTGGTATGGCATCACTGATTGTCATCCACCGACTAACATTATTTTCATCTATTTTAATAATCGAAAATTCCGCTCATTAAATCACTAAGATACTCCTTCATAACACTCATTGGTATGATCAACCACGTGCACAACTGTAACAAACAGTTTACCAGAAGTCAAAAATCTGTAGTGTGGCGTCGAGTCGCGGTTGACTATGATAACCACTGCAGGAAGACTACGTGCCAGTTAACCGATAAGATCCCCCGTAGGCCAAATATTAGAAGGCAGTTGATGGCTGTAGTCGACATGTATTTATAGGCGATCTCGTGCTATTGAAATAATACCGAGATCGTGCCAAAGGAGTACAAGTGCGGTTACTGAGCACAACCGAATTCGTGCAAGGTCACAATCAACAGGAGGAAGAATAGAAGAATCATGGATGTCTTTAGTACAGTTAAACAAACAAGTACAGTAAAACAATCACTGGTACAATTGTTTATAATAACAATTGTTTCCATTAAACCAATCGCGTTCTCTTGATAAAAGTAGGTCACTACAAATCAAAAGTATTGATATATTCCTCTGTGATAATTTTGACTGCATAATTACTGTTATCACGGTTAAAAATTGATAAATACGTTAGTACATATTTTATAATTACTATTATAGATTCAATGGACTGAAACATTCATTTCATAACGAAATAAAATAAAATGACGATAGGTTTAAAAGACCTTTCGTTGAGCTCAATTAGTGTCACTACTCATTTGAAAGTGTAACTGTAGAACATTTTCGCAACATTTTCAAGTTTTTGAAATACGGTATCAAAAAACATATGCGGATATAACCATCCCCTTACTGTTCAATAAAATGGAGATATCTAGCATTCGTAAGTATTTGCGTTTATTAAGTCTGCCACCAACGCATATCAGAATGTAATTTTCATAGTTGACTTTAGCGTAATCACCTAAAGCCATTTAAATATATCTTTTGTAAATATCCCACTTTAGCGTATCCTAACCTGCCGAATGAAAAAAGCAAAGAACGTGAAAGGTAGAGCTTGAAGTGAAACCTATGGTGAAAATTATGTTCTTATATGCATTAGTCATCCACTAAGCTGATGGAAAATTGCTAGATATTGCAGAAATAATCAACATTGAGAAGCAGATACGTTATCAGTTCACGAGTAGGCATCCTATCCCATGCAAGAAAAAATAGTTTTAAAACCCAAATGGTTATTATTTAACGTATTAGTCCGTATATTTTTAATGAATATTTGTTCAAATAGTGATTTTCAGTAATTGAATGTTATTTTAATTATTAGTCACCTTTGATTCAATAATCGTTGCTACTTTATACGATCCACAAATTACAGACATTTAGTTACCTGATAATGTTGATTAAAAGCATCAAACAACTTCTTTCAGGAACAGCGCTTAGAAACAAGACTGTACATGCGATTAACAATCTTTCCACTTGAACTTAAACGAGAAACATTAAATTCATGAATAACCAGAAAGTAGTATAAAGAGAACTACACTTAATTGATTAATACACAAACTATTAGGGTCATCTCATCGTCTTATCATATCATTATAAATATTTAAACTTAATAGTTTTTGGAATAATTTTCAGTATGTATATATACATGTGGACTGATTAATGTAATTTGAACGATGTACCAAATATTTATTAAACTGACTTCCTGGTTTCATTATGTTGTGATTTTATTTAGAATTTATCCAAACACAAAATGTTTTAAAAACATGCCATTCCATTGTCATCCTTCATCTGCTACTAACACGAAAGTTATTATGTAAGACAATAAATGACCATGTGTTAATAATTCTCATTTGCTAGCATGAGAAACCTTTTATGAACAAATGTGTTCTGAAGTATAAAAATATTTTGAATAACCAACTGATATATACGCATGCTATAAGTTATCGAATTACGTATTTAAAAGTTATGTACAATGAATTATTTAGTTGAACACATTTTGATGGAATTACATCTTAACGTCTAGTAACTAGTTTAATCCAATGTCCTTTTTAAATAAATAGGACCGATAAGACTAATGGTTTGTGATAACAGTTTCTGTAAACTTTAATTACCTAATATTGTGTCAATGTTTACGAAAAATCCGGTTTCCAAAACCTGAAAGACTCGGTATTCGTGAGCGATAATCTAATCATATATATTACTTCCAGAACGTTTTGTTGATGTAATATTATTGAAATTCAGGTGAAAAAATGCATCGTCAAATCTCTTTGCTTCATTCTTACAATACTTTCTGTCGATAAACGCCGTCACTGTTATGAAAACTCTTGATAGTGTTTTTACTGAAAGACGAATAGTTTGAATACAAATCCAAATATTTCAATAATATTTATTTTTGTATATTGCCAGCTTGTTGTAGTACTTGATTTATTTATAACAAATAAAGTACGTTTGGACAAATCCATTGTTTTTTATTCATTGAATGCATACAATGCTACTACTTTGATTACTTACAATGAAATAAAATATGAGTCGGTGAAAGTGATTACTTTGTATCGGAATCACCTCTAAATACGTCATTTCAAATGTGTACTCATGAAACTAAAGATTGCTATTATTCCGATTATCCACTTTAGAAAAAATGCTGCTATTCTATGAGTTAATTCGTAATACCATTCCTAATATTTTGATACTCAGGTTAATTAATATTCTCTGATATAAAACACCATCATTTAGTGAAAGTTGACTGAATTATAAACACACTGTAATAAATTGTTAAACAGTAACGATGTGTTTTGTGTGCTAACTAAATCAGACACCTGTCAGTTTTATGGGCTTGATGAAAAATTCAAGATAGCATGTTAAGGATAATATCAATGTTTTTAGAAATACTATATTCGAGTTAACCTCAATTTCATATTTGAAGGTAAGAGATTTTCGATGTTCTTATTAGTTTTCGAATTCTACTGAATTCGTTTTCTTTTTTACCTCGTAAGATGTTTGTCTCGTGGTCAAAATAACAAAGAAAGGCGATCTCAGCAACTGTGATAACTAAAGAGGCATCACTCTTCTCTTGATACCAGGAAAGGTCTTCAACAAAGTGTTGTTAAACAGAATGAAGGACTCCGTCGACACCTAACTTCGAGACCAACAGGCAGGATTCTGTAAGGATCGATCATGTTATTGATAATTCTACAGATGAAAGTTGGAAATAGAGAAAACTTATAAAATGTACTACCTCAACTTTGCTGAGGGCTTTTCAAAAAATTCTGTCGATTACAAATGACTGACGATGATGTGAACGTGACGGAATCCAGCGGATAGAGACAAGCGCAATGAGTGTCTTTTTGTTTTCGGTGAATTTTTCACTCTACTCTTCAAAATGTTGACTTATTGAAGCTTCATTTAAGATTTTCAATTATGACCGATATAACTGATTTACATGCTCCTATTTTTTGTTTCTGCTTGATTGTTGTCCTTTATTCGTACCCATAAACTTCATTTAGCTCGGGATGATTTGAGGTTAATTGAATGTTAATTCAAATAACCTGCTGACCGATCCGACAAAACGGATTTTATATTCAGTCATGGATTCAAATAAGGATTTTCAAGAGTTAAGTTCTTATACTTATTCTTGTATTGTTTGACGAAAGATCTCTAAATAGAACATTCTAAGAGGTAAAACTAAACTGATTAATTTAATAAATATATATTATATGGTTTATTTAAGTAGGAATATAATCACTAATTATTTGATAAACCTATGGTCTAGCAGATTAAACAACTCAAGCTCGCGTACTGTTGTAGCGTGGTGTCGAGTTGAGGTTAACTATGAACACCGCTACCAAGAAACACGTGCCAAGTAAATCAGAAGGCGAAGGTTGAACGTAACCAAATAAATCCATAAAATCCCCGAGAAGCCAAATATCAGAAGGCAGCTAATGGACCAAGTCGAGATATATTTGCTGGCGATCTCGTGGTATCGGAAAGATACCGAGATCGTGCCAGGATACAAGCTTGGTTAGAGAACGTAACCGAATTCGCGCGAAGTCACAATCAAACTGTAAGAATAATGGATGTTTTTGGCACAGTTAAACAAAAGCACATTAAAACAGTCACTGGTGCAGT